AAATTTTGTACATTTTTATGGCTTCATATTAATTTTATTATAGGAAGTTTTATGGTTTCTTAAAATTAGTACATTTGTATGGCTTCATAATAGTTTTATTTTAAGATTTTCTATGGCTTCTTAAAATTAGTAGATTTTTATGGCTTCTTAAATTTTATAAAATTTTATGGTTTCTTAAAATTTTACATTTGTATGGCTTCTTAAATTTTATACTTTTTATAGGCTCATAATAAATTTATTTTAGGAAATTCTATGGTTTCTTAAATTTTATCAATTTCTAAATCTTCTATCATTTTACACATTTTTATGCCTTCTTAATATTTTTGTTTTACATTTAGACTTCTTAAATTTAGAGAATGGATCACAGATAAATTACTATTAACATAAAAACGTTTTCCAGAAAAATGACGAAACTTGAGTTACAAACTTATTAATAAAAACGACGAAATTGGGAATATTCAAAATGAACACTAAAAAATGATATAATATGGGCTAGTATATCAATGTTTTTATATTAACTTTTTTGATTGAAAATATATATGTATAAATATTTTGAAAAATTTACAATCGAGCATTCGTAAATTTTCGTAAATGGATTTTGAGTTTGTGAGATCTTCATATCGCTACGTAAAGACTACGAACATCATTTGCAATTATATTATATGTAGTGTATGAATATAATTGCTACAGTAAAAACTATTTTATTAGTTTCCATTTATTAACTAGATTTTAAATTTAATCTACTATTTAACTAAGAAATTATAATGTGAATATATTCGTTTTGATTCATTAACAAAAAATAAATCTATTAACACATTGGTAATAAGACAAAATGATTGAAATAAATTTGACCTATTAAATATTTAGTTTAACCAATTTAACCATACCAGTGTAAATTCATGACATCAATTTATCAAATGAAATACCAGAAATTAGATAATCTATCCAAAAAATATATTGCATGAAACAATAACGCATTTAATATAGAAGCGTTAAAAAATTGTTTTTGATGAGCAAAAGGTATATTTTTGTTTCACTTAAAATAATTGAATAATATTTTTATATGTATTTTTCTTTTAGAATAAAATTATTTTAACTAAAATAATAAAAGATTGAAATTAAATATTGATGAAATATTTCTTATATTATTTTTTTAATTAATAATGACTAAAAAAACCAAATATAAAATAAATTCTACAAAATTCAGATTATAAGAGCTTCATTTAACTATTTTCACGTATTTTTTTGAGAAATTTTAAATGATATTATCATTTCATTAAAACTTTTCGCTATTTTTACTCGTAACAAATGACAATAATTTATCTTACTATTATTGGAATTTTCACAAAATCGGCGTATTTCAGGTTTTTGAGTTGTTCAAGATACTTTTTCTTAATTTGATGTTGCTTGTTTGAATTTTTTACCAATATTACAACACAAACAAGTTGTCACGTAAATTTAAACAGAATAAACTACAAATGTAGTAAAAAGTTTCAAGTACATGCCTTACGATGGCATTTTGAAGTGTATTTTTACTTTCAACTTTCCAATAACTATTAGCATAATACAGCCAAAATCGATAAAGATTTACATTTACATATATTTCTTTAATAAATCTGTTTATTTAAAGCTATGAAAAATACATTTTATTGAAACAATAACAATTCAGCAGCTCAGCGTTAAAAATCCTATTACATTTTATCATATAAAAATAAATCTCATGACTTTAAAAATAAAACTTGAACATATTTTACATTCTTTAGATAAATTATTAATTATTTTAACACGTTTTTGATTTGAATAAGTTCTTTTTACATAAGTTAAAAGTCTCATAAATAATATAGTCTTCGATGAACACTAAAAAATACTACCAACAATATATCTGACTTAAATCTTAAACATCTTGAACTTAAATATTATTAACTGATGTAATTTAATTATAATAAAACACATTTTACCACTGATAAACATGAAATTCGTGCCACGATTGTCTAATTAGATATTCTATTTCGTATTAATTAAAATACTTAATAAAATAGTACATGATGTATCATAGAAATTACATTACCACAATTTTTTCGTTTTTTATTGCATCTAGTGATCATTTTAAGTGAACTCGACTAAAGATGGATGAAATTTAACCATTTTAATGACTATAAACAACACAAATATTTCTCTCAACCAACTCCTTTTTACTGCTTTATGACAATTATATTGCAATTGAAGTACCCACGAATGTAATTGTACATTACATCCGGCGAATCAAAACATTAAAATGTTTTTACAACACATTTATTATGGTTGTAAATTTGTTCGACTTAATAGTAATCGGTCAAGTCATAGGAAATTGACAATACTAAATGTTAGCCGTGTGCAACAAATTGTAATTAACAAAACCCACAGGAGTTAAAAGCACCTGGTATCTTTGTTAATTAAACAAATTTCGTCTTTCCATATAATACAAAGTGCATTTATGTTCAATATATTTAAAACATTCGTAATTAAACTTCCTATTACTTTCCTAATTGGCAATTGCCTATTTAAAAAGAAAATATTTTAATTAAAAACGATTTTTGATAGTAAAATGTCAAAATATATCTTTTTTAATGTTCTTCTCGTCCCACCGACATGATCTATAAGCTAGTTCCCGAATTGTTTAATTAGAATCACAAATAACATATATCTGCGCCTACTTGAATCCGACCAATTAACTACTTTGAGGCCATCGGTAAGGTTATACATTAGAAGCTCTTCCGAAATAATAGCCAGCGGCTAAAAATTAGACTAACATTAAAGAACATTTAATTTTTACAAATTTAAAATCATTTCTGATATTGTCAGAAAAAAAAAAATCTTGCTTTTTACAATTGAAGCAAAATATTTTTTTCGTTTTAAATTTTGTAAATAACGAGACATCATTGTAAAAACTATAAAACAAAGTTTAAAACGCTCTATTTTTCAAACCACACTATGTAACCAAAGAAATATTGAACAGCTTTTCATGTAAATTATAACTTGAATTCTTTAAAAAGCCTTTTTAGAAATAATGTTACACAAAAAAATAAGCAAAAACTTATTGCTTCAATGTTTTTAAAAAGTACATTTTTATGTAAAACATTATTATGAATATACGGTATAGTGGAAGGAAAAACGTTTATGGGAACACATTATATCGTGTAACAATTTAAAACTACCAAAATATTTTATTAAAATGTATTTAGCACATTTCTAGTGGTTTACTGACAATAAAGTGTAATAAAATCATACTCGTTGAATAAGTTTAATAATAGTAATACAAGAAACATGAAAATAATTCTAGAATTTTTTATAGACTATCAATTATTTTTAACGAAAAGTATCAATATCAGATATATATTCAAATAGTAAAATGATTGCTCAAATTTGAAAATTGTTGCATTTGAAAATATGGACATTTTTGTGTTCACACGTCAATGGATTTTAGAACTCGACAATTACATTGAAATAATTTTAAGGCGTTTTCGGCATTTCTTATCAAGTTACGCTTTCGTATCAGTTTATTGAAAATGTACAAAATTGAAATTTTTTACCAGGAATTCATGAGGTACGTAATTAACATTTTAGGCCAAAATCGACATTTTGTTACAAATAAGAGAGAATAGTTCCAGAAATTCATAAGTGCGTAGTGCAATAGTAGCAGTAGTGAGATGGCATGTACTGTGTTTGGAAGGTGTTTAGCCACTCGTCCCAATCGTTGTGTTGTTTCATTATTTTTATGGGGCTTAGGGTCTAGTGCACGTTGTCTTAATGCATAATTAAAAAATTGAAAATCATACCAGGAATTCATAAGGACTGTATGCGAAAATACGTTCAGGTGTTTAGAAATGGTGGCCAACGTCTAGTTACAGATTTTAAAGAGGTTATCGACAAAAAAACCAATATTAGTAGTGCAATATAAGAGACACGATTTTAAAAATAATATACACTGTCGGCATGAGTTCCTGACATTACAATTTAACTTTCTTTCAGAAATCTGTATGACCGACGCAACTTACACGACATAATTTTGTCAAGATCGCCAGAAGGAGTGTATAAAATGTTTGGACTTGAATACTTTTAAAAATTATTTATTTGTCATGAGACCAAGACAAAATGTTTCAACTTTAGCGCATAGATGTTAATTTATTGAGTGTTCACATGGCGGTGTCCGGCGTTTTATCTTTGTTATGTTTGTTTTACCATAATGTTGAGTTCGAAGACATTTTTAAACAATACGAAAAATCACTTCCTCGTCTCTCATTCATTGGTTAATTAAGTTTCATTCACCTGATAATTTTTTTTTTCTTTTTAACAGTACCCTAAGTAAAAAAACCTCTGCGCTATGAAAAAAGGTTGTGTGAGGTCGTTGGTCAGTGGCCAGCTGTGACTAAGTACATACGACAGATGACTCCCACACACAACACTATTCACTTCGTCCGATGTATTAAACACCGGTATCTATACTGTGTGTAAATATGTAAAAGATATAAAAAAAATCGACGGTATGCGTTACTAACGGTGTGTACGCGTGTACTTGGTGAAATAACATCTTCTATCACTCATTCTATACTGCTACAATCGCTTCGGCGAACACCAATTAAAAAGATTATTTATGATGTAATCCGAAGCGGTTGAAAATATAATATAGTAGCGATTATAAAAGTACACAATACGACTGGCATTTCAAATACAATCATTAGGGATGACTGTACTTTGTGAGTTCCACCTCGTTTATAATGCAACATGATATAAGTATTAATGTTTATATACACATGTGTATACATTTTATGAACACCATTTGTGAATGTGAGATCAGGTTGGTACAGATATTGGAATTGCAATAAAAACCTTCATCGTGTTATTAAATACGTTCCACATTCGGTGGAAGCTTATAACTTATATATTTTTTCATATAATAATGTTCATCGTGTGTACAGTGGTGTCAAATGAGACTAAAAAAAAATCTTATAGAGACAAACTAATAATAGTAATTTCTTTACACGTATATTACAAAATATTTATATAAAAAAAAAAAACAAAAAATAACGTTACAATACGAAAAAATAGTGTTATATACAACTAAGTAGCTGACCACAACAACGATCGAGATGGTTACAAAGTAAGATGACAATTTAGTGGTAATATTTACGGAGATGACACTAAACTTGAAAAATTCGTAGAAAAACAATTATATTATAAACAAATATTTTATACAAAAATTGATAACAACAACGGCTACAATTATATTACAATGAGAATATTGTCGAGCGTTTAAAAAGCTCTTTTACATGATAAAACGTAATTTTACTAAAAATGTAATAAACCGGTCGGTGCAAATACGTGTGAACTATTCAAAATTGAAATATAATAAGTAAAAAATCGAATTATTTAATATGAGAAAAAATCAGAGACGGCGACGAACATATCGATTGACGATATCGTTTAAAAAAGCAACTGCGTTGGCTGGTAAACGCATTTATATACTTTCCGCGGATAATATACGATCCGTGTGATGATAAAATAATACTAATAAATTAATCGTTGTCGTCGTCGTGGTCGCCGCCTTCCGTCCGTTTTGTACTTTTTAACGGCCGTCTTTTTTCAGTACACGGTCGTTGTTAAAAAGCGATTGCGCTTGAACGGCCGAGGTACTCTCATCAAATGGCCGTGTGAGTAATGGTAAATAAGCGTGACCGCTGCTGTTGGTGTGCAGTGGACGTGCATAATTTCTGCAATAAAACAAAAAAGTCGTAAACATTAACTCGTGTTTGACATAGGAAATAAAATATACAACCGCTTATTAAAATAAAATTATTTTACGATTTCTTATTTATACCAACACACAGTAGTAATTTCACATAAGGAAATCTCGTCTATTATTTTAATAAGCACCGGCGTGCAATAAGTTTCACAGACGAATGTGTTCATAAACTACATCACTAACTAGGCCCTAAATTATTCCCAGTTAATTCTATATTTACATACATATCCGCGTTATGTAAATACACTGTGTGTCGTCTGCACCGGGCGGCTGTTGTGCGCAATTAATAATTTTTCGTTTTATATATGACAACCCGTCGAGTGTGTTATAAGGCGATTTTAATTTAAAAAAATTAATAATAATAATAACGAGCCAAAGGTGACTGTGAATAATTTCGGTTATTAATCTTTTTGGGACACACACAAAAACTCCGAGTGTTTTCATATTTTATCTTCGGGCCGTTCGTTCCCACGTGTTCTCTGCCCTACTCTTCGGCAATTGCAAGTGCTCATACGTCAGCCGAAATAATAAGTTCTGTAATGAATTTACATTGGAGTGTCAAAGGCGAAAATTGACAGACGAGTCGGCATGACGAGTTTTTAATAACTGTCCTGATCGGATGTTGCACACATTGCTTGTTGTAATTACATGTCCAAAAGGGTTTATTGAATAACGCCACCGTTCGCGTTCATGTATAGGTGATATACAACACATGCGGGCAATAATTACTATTTAATAACGAACACGACCTCGTTTAAATTGATATTTTTCAACGTCAAGGGGTGAAAAACATAATTAATTATTCTCACTCTCTTTCAGTTTCAATGTGAATTATTCAATGAGACTGCAATTTTCTACTAAATTTTTAATTATTAATAATAATAAAAAAAGAATTATGAAAAGAACCGTATCCGCTTTTTAACTACTTTAATCGCATATGATGTTTTTTTAATTGCGCCCCGTATGGCGTAACTCAAAAGTGAACGGATCACAACTAAAAGCGAATAAGTTTACCAACGAAATAAACTTTTACATTTGACCAGCTAAGATGACGACTACATCGTTTTCTCGTTCGCGATTCGAACAATTCATCCAGTAATATTTCATTTTTTTTTTTATATTAATTTTCATTTTTGTTTTATAGTCTACGCCAAAACAGTGTGTTGTTTAAGCAGCAATAATAATAATAATATAATAAAAAACTATAGGAAAAAAATGGCTTTATTTCACCAAACCTGTACGCCACCTACAGATTTTTTGTCGAATTTGCATAACACACGAGACCGAACGAAAAACATTATATTCATATTTTAACAAAATGCCATTGTACTGAAATTGAGCAAACAGAATTGAACGGCGGAGTTTTTGGTTGCTATTTCCGGGAGAAGATGTCTTTACCTTCGCTAGCTTTATTTCAAAATTTATTACATTCTTTGAATGCGAACACAAAAAAGAAAACAGTCCGAGTAGTGGTTAGAAGAATGCGCGTTTCCCGGAAACTAAACATGCCCGTTCGTTCCCTTTGACAAATGAAAAAATAATCTATTATTGTTGTGGTTGTAAAAATAGTTCAATACTCAGAAGATGCTTATATTTTCTAAAAAAAATTTTTCTACAACTATAAATTAAAAAATCGCTACTGAGCGATGATACTCACCAAAATTGTTAAACGGATCCCTCGACCGTTATTGTAGTCAGACGATTTCGGTAATGCCGTGTGTTGTGTATGCATCAAGTCGGGCGACAACGCATAGCTTTAAAGCCTGTGTCATACGTAGTCGGACGGCAAGGAGTTGTGCCTTTGGTGGTAAGGGTCGATGGGCTCGTACATGTCTGAGTAGTACGCGCTGCTGTGCTGGTCGAAAGCATAACCGGCGTTGTGATAGGCGGGTGTAGGCACCCGGTCGAGTTCGGTGTAGAGTACATCGTCGACCACGGGCACATCGTCTTGACCGATGACAGAAGCGTACACCACGACTGGTATGGCGGCGGCAGCTTCTTCCACCGTGTAATGGTTTGCCCGTACTATCTGGTTGGGCGGCACTGCGTTAGGCGGTAGCGCGACGCGTCGTTTCCGCCGGAACCACCGAAACCAATCACCTGGGTTCACCATGGACAACAGTTGACGGCCGGTGCTTCCACCACCCCCTCCATCGCCACCACCGATACCTACGCCGCCTCCGACTACACCGTCCCTGTTTCCTCGACCTCCGACCATCAGCCCATTACCGCCGGACGGCCGTCCTGGACCCCCTGAATATTTGGATATAGCTTCCTGGCCGGACCGCCTGACTGGGCCGCGACGATGCGTGTCGCCCGTTGCTCCCAAAATACGACGTTGGTGTTGCTGGTGGTGATGATGGTGATGATGACGCACTCTGTCTGTAGGCGGTTCGAACGACACCAAACATTCTGCGAAAGGCAAAATATTGAAAATTAACGAAAAAGTTAACATATTTTGTTATAATTTTATTTTATTAAGTATAAGTGTCGTTCGCTTTTAAATTGAAAATATTAATATAAAACGAGAAGTGAGGTAAATATAAACGAATAGAGCAGTTTTAAATTCATTTGTTCTCTTAGAATATTTAACAAATTATATTTGAAATAAAAAAGCATTGGTCTCGTATAAGTCGCTATCATATTAAATGCAAGTCCGAAATAAAAACTTGTGCATTTATCTAAAAGAGTACATTTACTGTTACCTCACTTCATCTTAAAAAAAAAAGTACTGACACCGGGTAAATCAAATTAATCCGTCATTGTAAAAAGCGTTTATTTTGTGATATTATTATTTATAATATCGACTTAAAAATTATGCATTTTCATAGGAATATTGTAATTCAAAACATGCGCTCATTGGTAATGTGAATTTTCAAAAAAAGTCATGTATTCATTAATAATCAGAAGAACATATTAAAATGATTTAAACATAAATAATTCTATAACATTTAGTACACGGTGTTAATAAACAAAACTAAAAACAAATCGTCGTGAAAATTATATTGTTGTATTATAAACAATCGCATCATATGTCTTTAACCCGTTGACAAATAAACGTGATTGATTACTCTGAAAAATTTTGATTCAACGAGCAAATAAGCAAAAAAATATTGTCATTTTTTTCGTGTAGGCACACACTTTGATTTTTGATTGAAAAATATTATCTTACAAACTTTACTACACGTATTTCACATTTTCTGACTGTACCTATATCAACGAGAGAGTTTTAAATTCAAACACAATTTCAATGCCCTTAACAGAAAAACACAAAACATAATATTATATATTATAGGATTTATCATTGAAACCTAAAAAACTTAGGACGAATATTTTTTTTTCCGAAAANACCAGAAAAACACAAAACATATAGGATTTATCATTGAAACCTAAAAAACTTAGAACGAAACTTTTTTTTTCCGAAAATAATTGGTCAAAATCAAAAATGATTATTTTCCGTTTTTCAAACACAATGCGCGTTTTAAAATATTGCAGTTAAATATCGCTTTACATTTTTTAAGCGTTTTCAATGATTACTCGCCTACAAAGATACCGCGAATATTTTGTTCGCATTATTTTTTACTCGTCATAAATCATTTCAATCGTTTATTATACACAGTGATACGCTCGACGTTATCATTATGCGGTTTAAAACCGAAATTCCATCGCACACCAAACGCGTTATCGTGTCCCTCGACTGCGTGTAACTATTAACGGTAATAATGAACTTGGTGGGCTACCGCGACATCCTCAAACCATCCGAACTATGCGCATGCAGAATGCCGCCGTTTAAAGCTTCACAATCGCAATAACTTACACGTGTAATTATAGGCAATACGTTATACGAACGCCATGACGGCGGAAACTGTCTCGGTCGTCGCATACACATTTCATGCATAATATTCTCCAACAATAACAGTCGTTGGTATCCTTGTGGCGTGCCATTAAAATAATATACTGCGGGACACTGTCCGTCCGATAGTACGCGTATGTGGCGCATACGAACATGCGTGTACTTGGGGGAAAAAAGACGAAATGTGTGTGCGCCTTGATGTCTATCAGATTCGGACGCATAAATTTTATTCGGACTTAATCTGTTCATCGACCGGCAAACGTATTAATTCTCCGCGCCCGTTGCATTGTTCTGTCAAGTCGAAAATTTGTGTGAACTCGTTATTCCCGTATAATTGTACTGGAACCGCGACTGGGTCTATGGGGTTAGCTATTTTCCACATATTTTTTAATACAACGTTCATTGTGTTAATAATAAAGAAATCCGCCACCCCAAACATATACTACATGTATACTCACACAACCACTGGATGTCGATAGATATGCACCACATTTGCGGTGCACGAGGACGATCGTTAATATTTTTTATATTTTTTTTAACTAAACTCGGGGCCATCGTTGTTGTGGTGGTGACTGTCGGCTAAGTGTCTTGACCGCGTTTCCCGTACGACCTATCGAAAAACAATAATAAAATTGCAAACCATCGCACATAATAATGTCAGTAACACCAACACATTGTGCACACCAATTATTTTTATCAAAACGGTGTAACACAATGCATAGGTGCCCGGTAGTCAAGTGCCTCTCGGTGCCTGAAGAGCATCTAGCGCGACCGTAACAATTAATCCAGTCTAGACTGCCACTTGTTTAAGTCCTCCCGCGCAGCATTCTCTATCGAACAATGAGCGCATAAATTACGCTAGTCTTTCGATAAGCGATACGGACCACCGCCGTACGTGATTTTAACGCGCATTTCCAGGCTGCTCGAATAAATTCGCGCGGGGCAGCGTTGGAGACCATAAAAAAATCAAATAAAACGAACAATCATAAATGCGATAGTCAGACTCGCGACTGTTAATGTTTGGGTTAAAAACTCGGTTGTTACGACCCGCTCGTGCGTGCCACTGCTTTTGTCCGACTGCTGTTTGCTCAGCAAAGTATAAATCATAATATTGTACGCCGTTTTGGGTATTTATACGTTTGCTCGATGTGCACTTACGCACCTCACAGATGGAGTAAATTAAAAAAATGTATACAAAGAACGTGAATTGTCAAGACGGAATTCGAATAATATCGTATAATGGAAACCGTACAGCGTTCCAGATGTGTCGTACCGTCTCGAACTGTCTCTGAGAAAACACACACACGTTTTTTGGTCCCGGCGTAGCAAAGCTAAAGAACATCACAATAATTACAACTCCGAGACGTTCAAAGGGATATATGCGGACTCTTCTAATTAAACGCAGCCCGTCCGTTTATGACGAGCCTTTATTCAATGTGTTTATATGTAGAAAATTATTATTAATACACTGTAAAATACGTAAAAATATCTTCACTGTACTTTGCTGCTAAATTATTATTTTGTAAAAAAAATTTTATCTCGACATTTAACCGATTCGTTTTACAGCGTATGATTTTTATGTTGTTCGGTTTATTGTAATAATGAATTCCTACTGCTATAACGTAAAGTCAAATAAATATTAACTGACCCGTACAGTTTGTTTACCGTCATTATTAATTTGTAGCGAAAAAGCAATAAAAAAGTTTTACGATCCACGTTTGTATATTTTTTAATGACGAATCAAAAAAAAGTAATAATTTTCCTTTTTGAGTAAATTGTTAATCGATAGCGAACAACGACTTATCTTGTTCGTGTTATTAACCGTCTTTTTTTTACATAAGAACACATTAAATACGTGGGAGACACTCACCTGGCCGAGACGGCGCAGTGCGACCGGACAGCCGTCTGAAACAATAAAAAAAATTATGGTTAGATTAAAAATATAATAATTACTATATCAATAAACGCACATAGAATTTGGATAATAGTAATAAGATACGTGTAGAGATAATATTATATAAGAATATGAAAACACAATTACCATTGTCACAATGACGTGCATCCCCCCTCCACTGTGCAGTATCATCATTCCGCGAACGCGGCGTGTAAATTATGAGGTTACAAAAAATGTTACCGGAATGTCGCCCACGCAAATCAGATCCGCGTTTTTGATAAGCGGCCGCCGATACATCATCGAGCGGATCTGTACAACGCTCGCCGGTTGATAGGCACGTTGACTTCTAATTGGTCGCGTCGTCTTATCACAGTTATCAATACGGCGGCACACAGCGTATAATTTAACGTGAAGCCTTCAGGGCCCCTAGAGAGGAAACCGTGTACTCGTATAATACACTCCGGACGCGTCGACGGGCGATCGTTAAGTCATATCGCACCGCCCAGAGCGATAAACTCTAAGCGTACTCGGTAATTACATACTCTCCAAGTTTGCCGTAACGAGCCCCTAATTTTGTTTTTTTTTTTTCACACGGTGTAACGATTTAATACATAATAAATATTTCACTGCGACGGGCGAGAACCTATAAAAATCAGTCGGTTTATAGTTCAGAAATACATGATATATTCTGTAAGGGCATACCGTCGACGGAAAGACTTAATTAAAAGAAGACGGTCGGCTGATATAGGCAACTCACATATAATCTTATATTTCTGCAAAGTCATCTTGCATTGTAGGAGGTGTTAATGTTTGTGTGTTCTTTGCATACGACGTTATAGACGCCCGTCAATAATACGTCTACTATGAAAATATTTGACCACCGAACCCACGCGGAACATTTTTTTTTAATTTCTCTTTTAATATAAATAATTGTATTCGAAGCATTGAATTTTTGGATGACACATGTCGGAGTATTGTTTCTCTCTAATATTTCGCACAATAGCACGAAGGTTTTTTTTTACTCGAAACCTTGAAGTATTTTTGTTTTTTTTTGTTCAAATCAACTATCCATGAAGTTATTCTATTGGCAATGCTGGAGACCTTCGGTTTTTAGATTTCTGGAGATATACTGCTACGCTGTTCGGATGAGGTATATTTTATTAAAAAGTACGTATCTATACGGTTCTTATGAATATTTATTAAAAACCTTGTAGAGCACACTCGTCAATGGTGTACACGTCTATTGGGTCGTGTAGTAAAAGTTAAATAAAAGTTAAAAATAAAAGACGACTTACGGTCCGGCTGTTATCGCGTACACTTACAATGTGCACTGAGTTATTGGTTGTGTTTTATACACGTTTTATTGCTAATGCTCCGGCCATACAGTATCGTTTGAGTTACCATTGGGAAATATCTCATGTGATTTCTCGACTACGGCGGCCGTTCGCCAGTTTCAGCGCGTGGGCCTTTCATCGGTTCAAACGCACAACATGATAAATATTCGCAATATTATACGTATATAGGAAAAAGCACCAACGGTTTTCCCCGCGATTCACGATTGTAAGTCCTCTGGTGCTTCGTCATAGCTCCGCCGCCGCAGACTGATAGTAACGTTACATCCGGCTTTGGCTCATCATTTACTCATTCTGTGCAGTAATCTTCAATCTATTGTATTCACAGGTCGTCAAACGGAAATCTCGATACTCTTCTATTGTATAAAAACCGAATCGAGTTTACTGCAGTACATTTAACAGTATACGCTTGTCTTTCTCGGTGCCAAACACAATATTAACCGTAATGTTGAAATTGTCGCAAGCAAATATAATAACGGCCGTTGTGCGTGAAAGTGTAACTACTTAACGAAAAGCGTACATCTCGCGNACTTTACTGCAGTACATTTTACAGTATACGCTTGTCTTTCTCGGTGCCAAACACAATATTTACCGTAATGTGTTGAAATTGTCGCAAGCAAATATAATAACGGCCGTTGTGCGTGAAAGTGTAACTACTTAACGAAAAGCGTACATCTCGCGTGGGAATTATCGGCCTATAATGCACTGGGAGGACGTATTGGTACAGTACAGCGGAGGAAGTGTTTGGTTCGGTTGATCGAAAACCAATTTGCTCGCACTTGTGTATAAATATGTCAAACACGGTATGGTTATAATAATTATTATTGTGTAGGTTAATGCGACAGCTGTGGTGGTCGTTGTGCTATATACGCCACGCAATAGCAAGTACGGACATTTTACGGTACTGTGTACTTACAACACTCAGTACCTATTCATAACGTGTAATGTATTCTTACGTCGGGTGTTTTATAAACTGTACTTGCCGTGTGGGCGTCGCAGTTCTGTCGATAAAAGAGTATCGCAACGACGTTTTATGTAATTTAAACCGTTAGTATTATTGAATACCTGCAAAGCAAGCACGTGAACACATCGGAGCACAAAAGTACAAAGCTCTCTGAATTTGATTTTACTTAAATGGCATCGATCCATCGCTGTGCATTCGAGCGATGAGAATACTGCTGATCAAGTTCGTTTCGAGTGGGAGTTAATGTTGACATGTACACCACCAAGATTCGTTCGCCGTCCTTCAGAACTTTAGCGCACAGATTTCTGCAGGAATGAGTCATTAATCGATAATTTGTTCCGTCGAATATAATGAGTATGTATTATTATATTGTATTTTTCAGCTATTGTATTTAAAGTTACCATTTTCACACGACGATTGCGGTCAAGTCGTAAAAAAAAATGCGATCGTTAACACCTGTGGTGCGTAGACAACCTCCGTCCCCTCAGAGGAGGTGTCGGCTAGATACGGTCGAGTATTTTTACATCGAGTACAGTATAACGAGCAGTAAGTGGCGTGCAGTGACACAAACATAATAATAAACCGTATACCACTAGTAGCTCCCCCCCCCACCGGTGTTATGATAATGATAATAATGTTATTATATTAAGTGTGTACTCACAGCTTGAGGTGTAGGAAGACGACCATGAAGAGGGCGCCAATCGCGGCGGACAGCAACGATACCAGCACAAGTATCATGGGCCACGTCACCTCGGCGATGGGAACTGTCAACATACCTGTCAACGAAACAACAATGGTTTTATTATATTATTGTATTATAACAACACACATGCGATAATTGGATTATTACATCGTATTGTGTGGATTTTTAAATAAAAACACAAATCGCCGACGCCGCCGGTGGACAGTTACGTTATTTGATCGGCTATGTGTTATTGAGCGGTTGATGAGTTAATATGATCACTTTATACACGCGACGATGGCCGTATGCGATATCTTTAGGTGTAACAAGAAGAGGATGGGCGTGAATGTGAGCGGAGGACGTGTTACGGTTGGAAAAATAATAGTGAACAACAGTGTGGCCGTACCTAATAGACGACCACTACATTATGATGGCGCACCGCCGCACACGATTATTACACGGCGTGTACATTATTTTGTTATAATACACGTACATCGCGTGTATTAGTATGATGTCTTCATTGTCACCCGAACTGACAGCAATTCTTGTTGTACACCGTGGGAACGGGTGTCACGGCCATCGCATCACTATACGCGTACGATGATCATTTCGTTTTAGTCGGCACTTTTCTTTAATAGCGTTCGCGGTCTTCCGAGGTAAACACCACACCCGCATTGGATTCTCTTCGAAAAATTGTCACCATCGTCGTTATATCTTTCTTTTATTTTTTTATTATAATGTAATACGGACCAAATAAACGCACGGAAACGCCGCGATGGTGTTTTTTATCTCGTGTGTTGGATCACGTGTACATGATAATCATTGTAGTGACGGCGACAGGCCGCGGGGCAGTTAAAGATGAATAATTTCACTTTGCGCGATCAAATTTAACTTCCATCCAAAGCGCACTGGTTTTTCAACGCGGCACAAGAGAGTGCCGATCGCAGATCATGTCGCCTGTTGGGTTATTTTGTACATTATCCCTTTGAGACGACTGAACTAATTGAAAAACTTTTCAAATCCCTTTCATGACGATAATAATAATAATATTTATATATGCATGAAAGTATCTTATACAAGAGGTAATTACTGAAGTTTTAAGTATTTAATCGCAAAGTTTGTGCGGCACGACGCATCTTACGATTTAAACTTTACAAAAAAAAAGTTTCTATCTGTTAACCGTTCAAAGACTACCACGCGAATCTAATGCAGCTGTTTGTTGGTAATCAACGGAACGTCTAGCGATTTTAGAGCGCACAGTTTTTCACTTGTCCGCTAAAGTTTATGCTAAACTAAAATTGATAATAATATAAAAAGCGCATTATCATTTCAAAATGGAGTTTGTCGCTGTGTTCTGTAAACATCGGAAAAAACTGCAGAGTTGAATTTTTTTACAATGTAATTACCTCGACGACAAAATATGTACACGTAACAAGCGACCTATTGTTCTATGTGACGAAAAAAATATATTTACACGACATATTTTCCCGGGTTCTCGGTATATGTGGTACAGACGTACTTTAATTAATCACGGACGCTTTTCGTTAGGATTAAAAAATAAAAATAAAAAAAACACAAGAAATAATTATTATAACGGACATACAGAATCTTTATATATGGTTACGTGACACGAATATAATTAAAACGCATTGTAAATGTTTCGTTTGGCTACCGCATACTACACTGTGGGGCCGAAATGGCTTTGGGCGTTTTTTTGTACGCATAAACGAATAATAAAATATAATATAGGTCTCAATCCAAAAATGGTCCGGCTACACCACCCGGATAATTACTGAACCAATGAAAACAAAACAATTACATAAATTATACACATACGGTAAGAATAGAGGAGGGCGCGTGTCTCCTGATTTTATTGCTGCGATAAAAAAGTAAAATATACGCGTAGTAATCGAAAGCTGACTAATAATAATACAAATTTCGTGTAGTAGACATAGTAAAAATGTTCAGCTGTACGAACGCGCTCGTTACGCATAACCTGTGGGTACTGGTAATGTGTGTGTGTACACGTAATGGGTATTCTCCGCGGCGGAGGACTGAGCCGATCACAAGGAGATAACGCGAAGAGTACGCTGATAGTAAGACAAAAGGCACAAAGAAATACAACTAACTGGAAACTACTAAATTTTCGACGCGGCGAATAAACTTTTTTAATGTTATTGTCGAACGAGTCCATTGATAATTTACTCGATTAATGCGGCCACATGAAACTTTTGTTAAGAATACCCCTGACGCGCATACACACCGAAATGGAACACTCGCATCTGTACGCATCATATATTTCTATGATGTGGCGGTGCCCGTCGCTCAGTTGGTTTTTCAAATCTGGCGACCGCGTGCGGACCATTTCAATGGGAATATATTTTATTGGACGTCGAATTAATATCAACCGCACGGGACGCCTTCGATCATAAAAATTATAATACTCGACCGTTATATCATTCGTATGATAGGCATCCGTGTTGACTAATTAGCAACTTGACAAGTCACTGTATCGTCAAAACCGGTTAGAAGTGTACACGGTTATGTATTTTATTGACATGTAAAATAAGAAAGCGAGCGGCGTACCGACGAAAGTCTAAATTACTCCGACGTCGCTCCTGCTCGTGCTGAGCCGTCGTTAACTATCTGTACAGTACATAGATTGTGTTTTTAGGATTGTTTGTCCGCGGCAAAGCGTCGCCGTTAAACGATAACGCAATCGTTTCAGGAATCGTGACGACTAAAATCACGTCTTCATTCGCTAACGTTTGTCAACCGACGCTTTGTCGCCACTTGTGCGTGGAGTGCGATAATTTGTCCCGTGTGATATTTATTGCCGGCACGTTACCGTTGCTGGTGGACACATAAATTAAAGGGATTTCTCTTTAAAACGTCTGGTTAACAAAAATGTGCACTTAATAGAGACGTTAGTGACCGTACGGAAGCGGTTTACGAGTTTTAGGAATCGGATTTCGAACGCGTGTCTGTGATATGTATTTATTGCCTATCCTTAAACAAACTACGCGTTGATCTCATAACGGAGTCGTTTCAATAGACTTTTCTCGTGGTAAGACACAGATTTATGTATACGTTTATAATATCAAGCCGATGAATACACGCGCGTGTGTTTTATAATTACGCCTTCTCAGTGAACCCGTCAACATTTGAAAAATAATTGTGAGTTTTAATTTATTCGCCGACACCCGTCGGATGATTGTCAGGCGAACAGAATATCATATTTGGAGAAATTCATCGTCTAGCCGTCGTCTTCTCGGATGGATATTTTCTCAGACATTTTCATTTGCCTCGTTAAGACCTCGACGCAACGACAAAATCGCTCTATTTCTATTTGTTTGTTATTACTGTCGTCAATAAAGTGAACGACTTCGATGAACGTAAAACGTTTCAACTCGTACCATTAAAACACCAAGTGGTATTTGACGTCATACGCGCCTTGCGACTTACGAAATTTTAATTAAAAACGCATTTTTCAAATACGAATTAAATCCGAGCCGGTCTGATTTAATCCGTTTTCGATTGCACCTCTCGTCCCCCATAAACTAGATTATGTATTATGCTAAGGGTATTATATAAATATTAATATTTCAGACGCGCGTGTAAAGTAGACTGAGGATTTACCGAGTGGTTTTATGACTTGGTATGTCGATGAGAAATTAAAAAACGTCGACAAGTATTTACGAGCAAAAATAATAGTTGGGCGAACGACGCGGCAAAAATGTCATAATTAAAAATTGAAAATAAATTCACTGCGGTTCCTTAAATTATAATTCACGAATAAATGATTGCCATGTGGTTGAATAACATAAACACGAAACTTGATCATGTGTTATTTTTAGTTGTACGTTTGTCTATAAATTGAGTAAAATTTTGTGAAAGCGAAAAATAAACTGCGAGCCGAATAATGCTGAAATATGTTACAAGAGTTCTCGGAGTTGTTTCGCTCATGTTTATAAATATAATCCTTTAATACTACCCAGCTGTATGTAATACAAAATCATTGAATCGCGATACTTAATTTTGTTACCGCAATACATATACTGGCGTATCCGATATGAATAATTAAAAATTTAATTAGACCATGAAATCAATGACTACGAAAGTTATTAAATTATTAACTGTCTGATTAACACTCTTGAAGTTAATGATGTTGCCGTTTCTTCATGAACGCCGAGTTTGGGATTCGTTCCTCTCGTTGGTTCTAAAGCAAGGTGACTTTTTATTTGTCCGTTTGGTGTAACTTTATCTGTTCATCACAATGTTCGAATTTTTATCAATAATATAAAGAGCCCAACTCGAACGGTATTTATCGTGATCGCCAATTATCTCGATATAGAAGACTAGAAAACGTTAGTAATTTACCATATAAGTAGCCCGCTACTTGTTAGGTATTCTCCATAGAGTTTGCTTCTTCCGTTTAATCCGTTCGATATGGTTCGACAAAACCGGTCACAAGTATTCTTCCATACATAATTTCAACAGTCAGCGCCAGGTTCCTTATCATGATATCTTCATCCCGAAACATTTATAATACCTACAGCGTGTGATCTTCTGGATAATAAAAAGAATAGGTCGAGATTTATGCGTTGGTCGCGTTTAGAGACTTTTTTACTCTCAATGCTCAATTCTCGGTATCCGCGTTTTATTATTAATACATACAATATATTTATTTATTTTTTTTATTTTTGGACTGCCGCAGCGGCGTATAGAGACGTTCGGCGTGTAACATAACTTATAATTTCCAGAGCCGGTTTCCTCATCTAACGAGATATTCTCCTTGGCTCTTTCTTTTATTCAGTAGATCCGTTGTTCGAAAAATATGTTCTAACATTCAAGAGACGCTTATTTCTACTCATTTTTACCGGGCTTGTTCTTTTACCACGTGAACACGGTAAATCAACAGCCCGCGAGAACGAATCCGATATGTGGAGGACGTACACGGAACTTATACGTTTTTACGGCAATGATGTTTGAACAGTTGAAATAGAAGTTTTCGGACCGTAAAAATATTATGTAAATATTGGCGGTAAACAAATGCACATCACACACAACTGCAATCTGTGTCTCAGGTACACGGTTTCAAATTACAGTCGTGTTCCTTTTTTTCTTCATTGGTTTCTAATAGAAAACACTAAAGGCGGTGAATGACTGGCTGCGTCCAAATCGTCATTGGAATTTATACAACAGCCGCCTCTGTTTACTCACCTAACGGAATTCAGTCGTGTACAGATAAATGAGTAACGCGACCGATGAAAACCAACCCGTGAGCTTAATCGAACAATTATATTTCACTCAGTCATGGCGTTCATTGTTTAGCGAACAAATCTGTTTCTTACGAGTGTGCACGTCAGTCGTATACGCACATCGTGGCAGTAAATATGAGAGTAGGTATTTTAATTTTCGGACGTGTGTTGATAGGTTTGATAGACTAGCCGAGCGTGTACCCGTTTACGGACGGAGAAAAAAAAATGACATACATTTTTCCACTCTTTGTTCTCAGTACACCACAAGCGGATTCGGCCGCCGAAAGAACGAACCCGCGTCCATGTAACGCTGTGCCGACGCTCCGGGCAAACCCAACGTGCTCGTTGTATTATCTACTTTTCTTCTTCCACGTCCCGATAATTTAACTAACACTGATATATTTTAATTAAATGTCATGGATACACACACGGGCCGACATAGAGCCTGTCGGTCGTACATAATTATACCTGTCAAAGATATTGTATCAACTGATGGCTAAATTAAAAACCGTTCGTTCCTTGTAACCTCACCGCCGCCGTTCGATCACTGCCCGAGTTCTCGCGCACTTCAACGTGTACAATACGTACAAAGCCAAAGGCCAATCGTACACACATGTGAGTACTACTAACGTTCAACGAGTACAGACAACGTACTCGTGTAACAACCGCCTCCGCCGAGCGTTTCATCAATACGTGTACCGTCCAATAACGTGATATTTTCGCCCGATGATAACGTTATTACAACATGGGAACCCGTTCATTATAATGATTTCCGAACGCAGTCATTATCCAATCCAGGAGCGGCAGCGTCGGGTCCGGTTCGAAAGAGTCTGAGGCGAAAACAAAATCAGAGGATGTATCCCATTCGAGTGTGCGTGTAGTGATAGAACGTCAGAGTTACACCTCTTTCCGGCTGCAACCGATTCTAACGACTCATTTTGTCGTCAAAAAAATAAAAATAAAAACAACCAACGTCTAGATACAGTCGCAGCTCACAAATCATACAAACTCGGCCGAAACACGCCGCCCATTTCACCGCTGCGTTTTGGTTTTCGGCAACAAACACACACGCGCGCGCGGAAATAAAAAGAAATTATCTCGACACTAGCGTTTTATTATTATTATTATTATTATTATGTATATACGATATCCTCTTTAGGGTAGACTCGGGGACGTGTTAAACGGCGACGTGATTAATGTTTTCCTTTCTCGCGTCAGTGTCGGAATAGATGTTGTGTGCTGTNGTTTTCCTTTCTCGCGTGAGTGTCGGAATAGATGTTGTGTGCTGTGCAATCGACATAGGAGCTGCAGATATAGTGGTCTGGTTTTCATGCCAAAATCTGCGTTTTCCACGAACACCCGTCGCCGATCGTCCGCATTACACACCCCCACCGCGCGCCTTTTAACGCAATTTTCCCAAACGCCAGGCTTTATGAAATAGTGCTCCGTTATTTTACACAACACGCGCGCCTTTTAACGTTTGGATTTATAGGACTGGAGGGTCCAACACGCAATTTCCAGAGACCTTCACGGAAAAATAATATGCACGTTACGCACAGACATGTGTATAAATTATTAAAATAAAGCGAGTTCGCTGCCGGCGTCGACCACTCGCATTAAAAACGGACCCGTCGTATATTACAACAAACCCGAACCGCACTATCTGTGCGCGTGTTATTTTTGTAATTCGCACTGTCTCTCTCCACCTCTTTTACGAATACATTCGATGCCGTCAACCCGTGAAGTCTCCATTTACCGGTTACCAGCGTGCGTTTAGTGACACATAAACGTCTGCCGACACAACATAAACTACTAGATGCGTAGGTGGCAGTTTATTTGTACGCATTAGGACCAAACGTTATATAAATTATTGTGCGCACGACTTGTCTAACAGTAGTAGTCGCGTAGAGTGGTAATAGGAGTAGAAGTAGTAGTTGAAAATGCAATCATCACTTTTGAGCGTGTGCTCGTACAAAAACTACACAACTTGTAAAGGAGTGGGCTCGTAGCAGACACGGAAACGCAATTATAATTTTCTCTTAAGGATCGCTACAGGATCGTGTGTCGCACGTGGGTCGAGACAAGACGTATTACAAAGTCATCTGCAACCGAAAATCGGCCGAGAGTATTAATTTTGCGGTGGTGTGTGAACAGCGAGTGTCGTCGGCGGGTACATTAAATATGCGTTTAATACTGTCATAGTTTGGAGACAAGTGCGCAGACGAATGTTGGGCGAATGCTTCCCGTCGACTCGACTACGACTATATTCTAATCAAAGCATCTCGTCGGTCCATTAGGGTTTACATAAATAATACATCTACTCCGTCTCTTGGACATCCTTCGACGCCGACGATACAAAGAAAACGAATCATTTACGCCATTGTAATTTGTTGCGAGTTTAAACGGCACGTGTCGATACGGAATGCAATTCCGTTGTTGCAGTCTGAATGGGATCACGTAGTTACACGCGTTTTATAAACACCGCGAATAAAGCTCATTAAAAAATATGCACACGGCTCACGATCAAATGGTGTACCGCAGAAGAAATCGCTCTCTTCGATTAAACGCGGTGCTGGGCCAATCCATCAAAAGTCCATCTACACGGCGTAATGCACACGCAAAGACTTTTAAATAGTTGTTAATTTTTTACAACGAAAAAATCGTGTAGCACAATTTGCGGCGTATTCGTGATGAAATAAAATGATTTCCATTATTCTCTGAGTGCATCATTTGTTAGCGCCAAAGATATAATTAGTATAATACATTCCGGTTTGGGGTCCTGCGCGTGCACCGTACTAATGTGTGTTAATACACTGAAAACGTGTGACGCATATCGATTATTAAAAGTCAATACTCGACGGTATGAACGATCGTTTATTTCTGCACTGTGCCGCTTACACGTGAAGCTTGCAACTAAAAAGTACGCTATCCAATGCAGCCCATACGATCCGACGACTTCAAAACGTACTGTTGGAATGCGTGGGCTGCTTTAATTACAGCGCCACGATAAATCGCTTGAATTATGAGTCGGTGTCAAAAAATATCCAGACAACTCGCTAACCGGCAATTAAATCATTTATTAATAACGCACATAAACATTGATTTTAATTTGAATGCACTAATCTAACTCTGTACGCAATCAGAGATAGCATCGTTAAACGAAATTAATAAGAGCTAAATCAACAATTATGCTGTCACGGTAATGATATAGCGTATGCAGACGTTAGTTCAACCGAGTTGTGGTACCTAATAAAGTCCCAAACGCGTTGTCACGACTGGGCAGATACACGGGGCACCAAAGAATCGATAAGTACTCTTTTCTGGATAATTTATCGTGCTTGTATGCTAATGAATTTTCGTTGGAATTACACAGAATAACAGTGTACAGATGGAAACGACCAGTGAGGGGGCGCCGAGTTAATATAGTGAACATCTAAACAATCAAGCTAATTAGCCGAGAATTAACAGCCATTTGACTCTGCCGAGAAAATGTTATGATTCCTCGCTAAAAATATCATCGCATGGGAAATCGTTCGAGAGGGGCGAACGAACATAATGAAAACTTTGGTGAGACGAGCCAATTGTCATCGTTTAATTTATCGGCATTGGGTGCGTGCCAACTGGCGATTTCCTGTGCGTTACTACTGCAGTTGCATAGGCCCGGCAAAAGCTATTTCAGAAGGGCACGAAAATAAAGTCAAAGAAAAAAGGTAATACGATTTCGACGCATTTTTTAACATATTGTTTTTTTCCACTCGCGTTTGCGAGCAAAACAAAACGACCCAGACACGTGTACAAAATACTTAGGGAGTGTTAAGTGTCGTTCGGGCGCGTAAAAATAACAATTACTATACATAGTGACTGTGGCACTCCAAAATAAATGCAATTTCTTGTCTGTATCTTACGTGTGGCTGATCAGCGAGTAACGGGTTTCGGAAAATGACGATTAAAAAAGGAAATAGCGTAGACAAAAGAACGGTAAACAATAATCATCAAACGAATTAGGTGAACCTTAATGTATCTTATTGTCGAGGTACAATAGTAGTTTGTGTATACACTTACCGTTGTCAGTGCCGTCTAGAGGTTCTAGGGCCCATGAGCACAAGTCGCAAGTGGTCAGGCCGTCCGAATAAGGGGGATCCAAGAACGGTGGACGGGGAGGTGGCGGGGGAAACTTCCATATATCCTCCTCGGTCCACCACTGGTAATCGTCTTCTTCCTACACAGACAAAATATCAAAACAAAAGGTCAGTTAATCATGATTTAAATATAAATGTGTATATACATATAAAAAATAAAAAACTCTAACCCGTGTGCCCTATTGTTCCTTTACAGTAACGCGTATTTATGACTACGTGTTTGTGTTTAACACCACACTGCGGTTTGCTTAACATTTTTTACTTATATTTTATTATTGTTATTATGGGATATGTTTAGCCTACGCGTTTATGCTGAGTCGCCCGGTGCAACCAACGTCTCGTTTTTTAAATAAATGTTCTAGGATAGTAATCGTTTACGCACACCTATGTACACACCGTACGTATGTTGTTTTGCGTTTAAGCTGGTTATGTATCACATCGGTAGCTTATATGTAAATTTATACGAATTTAAATTAAGACAATAGTTGCAAAAACCGAAAACAATCCAAGACAAATGTGCGCGTTCGTTTATTTTTAATAGAGCTGTACTATATTCACAGAGAATACTAGTGATAAATACGACCTGTTTTATGCAAATAAGCAATGATTTCACAATTAGGATACCATCTACTCATAAATAAAATATTTTTTAAACGTGATTTACTGACCATCATTAAAGTACTATATTTTTTTATCGCTTTTGATTCACTGATTTACATTTTACATTATACTAAATCATTTTCAAATTATATTAAGATGTTTTCACCAGAATACGCCATTAATAAAAAAATTCTTTTAATTTATTTACGTCGGAAATAACATGAAAAAAAGTGTACATATGTAATTCGAATATCGCCGTTTTCACATAAATCAATTCTAAATCTTTACATTATTTTATCCAAATTTAACGTATTCAACAGTTAACCAAACGCTTAGATGATTAAACAGCGAATGTATAGAAACACGAATTATGTATTGCGAGTCATAAACACAGACTAATGCAAACGCAAATAACGTCTTTACTTTGATAATTACTAAACATATATACATCAAACTAATAACTCAATTATAGAGAATTATACATTCACCTAGTCACGACTAGTTATAATTAACTAAATATTCATGTATAAAATGCTCAATATTACTCACAAATAAAAGTATTATTGAAAAAAAAATATTTATTTTTAGACTTCTAGAAAAACATTCTACCAATCTTGTTTGTACGCATAGAACTAGACACAAGTATAAGATACCCGCCAGCCTCACTTATAATAAAGTTGTTCGCGCGTGTTTGCGATGTTAATTGGGGTTAACGATCATGCAAATCGACCAGGTAGAAAGTCACGGGTAGAAAAGAATAAAGAAAAAAAAAACAAGTAAGACGCGTTTTGTCCGATTATCGTCGTTTTTTCTAGTAACTGTGTGTAATTGGAACATACATGACTTAATCTATGAAAAATCTGTGGGAAAAAAGTAACATAGAAAATCGTTTTGTCGAGCACCGCGCGAAGGACACACACACACACACACCCATAGCGTATATAATTTCCATAACCAACTTCATAATACCATCGCACCAAAAGTTTCGTTAAAAAAAAATATAATAAAACAAAACAAAACGTCGAGTTCGTGCTCACGGGTCCCATATAATTATTGAAAATACCTCAGTAATAATACAAAAAAGTATCTCCCGCCAATGTAGGCAATAGATCATAATACAAACCGATACTGTATCATTGCATAAATACAACAGATAACAAAAAATACAGGATACTGAAACCGCGCTCATTATGTTTAGTGGTTTACCCTTCAGTCGTTATATTGTATCATACCTACTCTAGCTTTTTATTTTTTTAGTTCATTATAATGTGGTGTATTCTATGTACTTGTGCAGATGGACTACTGCAGGTACGCTTGCGGCGGTGATGGCTAATAAAGACCAGATAGAACCCAAATCTTTCAAGTTACGCTTCCGTAAACACTCTGTGGGTATCAACCATTTTGAGCGGTGTATTCACAAGTAACTTGGATATTATTATTGTTATATGTGTACATACACGTTCGCTGCACAAGACACCAAACAAGTAATTACCGGGCTGCCGCAGTTCCTTCGCGAGTCTTACATATTGTGTTTGTGTAATCAACCTGATAAAAACGGATTTTCAGTGCGCGCTTCGCGGTCTGATGGTTTTTTAATGTCTTCATTCCTGTGTTGCGATGCGCGCGGTCACCCTAACCGCCCGACCGCCGTCGCCTCTGGGACCTTTTGTTTGGAAGTACACACACTTACTTACTGCCGTATTATAAAACGTACGGTAAAAAACAAAATGTATATTATAAGAATCGAGGCGTTGTGGTAAGCAATGCCTAGTGGCAGTGAGAGGAGGAGGAGATCATGCGCGCGCGTTTGTATTAAACGAGAAAATTGGTGTTACAACGTTGAAAAGAACACGTAGCAATGTCTCAATAGACCAGCGGAGCCATTCCTCCACGAATTGTTGCAGCTGCAGCACACGAGAATATTACAAGAAGATGAAGAGATCTCCGTGTTCGACAGACACGGCGAGAGAGATAGAGAGAACAAGTATCGGTTCGGTCCAAACCTCCTCTACCGATATCTTCTGTATTCGCTCAGTCACGACTCGCCGGTAATGTCATCATTAACTCAGCCAGTGGTTCTCATGCGATGTACACCGTCTAACAACATATACCCTCCTGTTGGCAACGCGCACTGACCAATTAACCGTCGCCATTGTACACGTTAAGTGCATGTGTATATATACGATACGTATGATAATGATAATAATAACAACAACGATTTAATGCGGTGTGTGTAAGGATATAGACGTCACGCGGCCGACACTGCCATGGGATGAGAGATCCGCCAATTAAAGAGCGTTTTTTTTCAACAATAATAAATTAAATGAAAGATAATAAAGCGCGATTGTGAGCATATAAACATATCTTGCGATGGGTCTTGGTTAGTGAGCGTATAGTTTTGATACAAAATAAATAAATAAAACCTACGAGGCGTATACTCGAGAAATTTTCGTGAGACACATAAACCATTCATGTTACTATTATTTTGTCCAATAAATCACTTGTAATAGATCGGTGCAAGTTGAACACATAAGGCGCAATCAGCGGTCTCCTTCGATTTCCTTAGCGCAACAGGCAAACGCATACAAAAATGTAGTGATTTATTCGACCGGCCGTCGTCTTCGTTCGGTGAAGAAAAAAAAAATAAACATGCATCGTGTAGGCAATATTATCATGTGAACGTTATTATAATACATCTACATTTACACATATTTTATTATGGTATAATAAGTATAATACACGTTTAAAAAGTCCGTGTAGTGTCACGTAGCCTTATTTCTCGGTGTCTTTTAGATTTCGAGGAACGCGTCCAAAACTGTGTTTCATCAGAATTTAACAAAAAATTATAATAATACAAGTTAAATGATTAATATATGCATCGGCGACAGTACCAGTAGCGTCATAGATGGTGGGTAGAGATTGAAAATATGTAAAATATACAGTTACAGATTTGTTTAATCGTTATAATCAATTTGAATTCTTTTAGATATCCACTGCAGCGATGTTAACCGCCTCGTTCTAATCATAGCAATAGCTACTCGTATCTGTTGACGTCCTAAACAATACTGGACACTACAAGCAAAAGAAGACAGTATGTTTAAACGCGATAGGCGGCGGAGGATGTTGCTCGTTTAACGGGTTTTCTGTTTCTACGGCCAAACGAATGACTAATTATAATTGGGAACCACAACCGTGTCGACCAAATGTCGTACGATCAATTTTATATACGCATCTTTGGTCGAGTATAATTTATACAAACTCGCTCAGGGTGCCGCAACAGCTGACATCAATAGAAGCCACTGCTCGTGCGGCTATCTTTAAGACCTTTGTGAAAGTAAAATGCGAAATTTTTTTTTTCTGACAAACAATAACGATGTCCGCAGGACCGTAACGCTTGTGACCACAACCAATGCCGTTTGTTCTGTTCTTCAACTCTATCGTCGTGGAATAATTTTGCGGTAAAAAAAAAATTCAAAGAAAGAACATAAAGTGTAGACGAACGATTTCGGTCAATAAAACTGAATAAGCCACGTTTAAGAACCGAACACCGCCTTGGTAATCCGATTTATGTGTGTCAAAGAAGCTCGCTGGTTGACCCCGTGCACCAGTAGTCCTGCGAGGGGGCTGTTAATGTCGTTTTCTTGGTACATCATGTACTAGCATTGTACGACAATCAAAAGGAGCCCCTGCGAAGGTCCCCGAATGACGACACCCTGCAGTGACAATCGGCCTCTGCGACAATATAATATAGGAGACACACAATATAGCATAATAATATAATGCCATTGCCAGCCCCTCGACACGAAGACGGTGTATGAAAGGAACAGAAGGATATTGTATACATCACCACTGCTTGTCGTTTTAAACGTCGTGTACATCATATAATATGTGATGTGCACACATTCATATTATGTGTGTGTGTGTGTTAAGACCACGCGTACATCCTCTTCACTTTTAATATTGTATAGGTATTATTATTATATTTGTTATAAGCTACCGGTACAGTTTGTCCCCGGAGCCTTATAAGAACGCAGGAAACGTCTGAGATGTCTTTATTTTTTTATTATTCGGTATGCACAATTATTATCTGCATCAGGATCCATTCCTTTCCTACTGCTTATTTAATATTGCACTTAATACGCGTAAAATATTCAGCATTTTTTCTTTTCTATTTATTTATGCTCAGACGTGTTTTGACTTTTTCCTCCGTGATCCTCTATCGTTACACGAACTTGTATTAGGTATTATTTATACCCTCTACTTTTGTACAGTTATTTTTTACCTCCATGCACGTGTAATACGTGCATGGTAAAATACATGACAATATATCTCGTAAAAACGAACTGGCATGCCGAACAACTCAATTATAATAAACACTCTGAATATTATTATATTATATATATATATATATATTATTATGTATCTATATATACCTATGGGTCGTGAAAAAAAAAACGTGTATCCTCATAATAATGGTTAA